GAGCGTGAACCACGATACCGCCCCCAGTTCGGCGTAGACCGCGCGCGCAGCGCGCTCCGTGTTTGCAGACCGCCCTGGCGGACTCGTTTACACTTCCAAGCTCAAGCCAGGCGCCGCAGGCCATAAAGAGGAGCGCAGATTAAAATGGCGCCGGAGGCTCCCCGGGCCGTCCGCGCACAGAACCTTTGTCTAAAAACAAAACAAGAACATCGATGAGACACCACTAGGGGCTGGGGGGCTCCGATCTCCATCTCTCCAGTACTCTCCAATCTCCAGCGTCGCTACATCTTAGGCCGGATCCAGTCAGATCTCCGATCTCCATCTTCAATCTCCAATCTCCCAACGTCGTCATCTTAGGCCGGATTCAGTCAGATCTCCGATCTCCATCTCCAATCTCCAATCTCCAATCTCGATTCGGGGGCCCGGGGGAGGAGGGGGGCTCAAACCTTCAAGGAGATGCGCTATGGATTCATTCACATAGCAAAAGGATCTCCACCCTCTTTTCGCGCCATTTTGCAATCTCCAGTCGGCCCACACGATCTCTAGGCGCCTTTGGCGCGAAGTCAGAATCTCCACCTCTGTCGCAAGATCTCAAGCGACTGCACGCACCAACTCGAGATCTCAGACTCCTCTCGAGCATCTACACCGGAGAAGATTTGCCTGCACCAGTTCTTCAATCTACTGCTGCTCTTGGCAGGAGATTTGCCACTTGAGAGATCTCTAAAAGGCATCTACGATCTACAGTCCAAGGATCTTCCGATGTTGCGCAGAGATTTCCATGTATGCTCTGTGAAAGGAGAAACGAAACCCGAAAAGAAAACGAAACGCAACCTTAGAGCTTAGTTCCGGTTGTGCTTGTGGTTGCTATGGAGCGTCCGGTTCAACACGCGCTCGCGCTCGCGTCTGCTGGCGCCCAGAGAACATGTGTTGCACCACACACATGCTTGCTCCCGGCGGAGCCCAACTGCTTGCACTCGACAAGGCAGTCCATCCACTCGCGCGTCGCGGCAGCTGAAGTCGAACTTCCACTCGATGCGGCTCGCGCCGGGTTGTGAGCTCGGCGAGCGAGGTCGGAGAGAAGTCCTGGGAGGGATGGGGAGGAATGTGGAGAGGTTGTTCTCGCCCTGCACGGTGTCAACCCTCTCACAGACCAGCGCATAGCACCCTCTCACAGACCAGCGCAAATACGTATTTTCTTAGAGCGCGACGCGGCGGACGCCAGAGGCATCGCGAGTCGCGACTTGTTGCCCGCCCCGATGCTCTCCAACCTGCGGGAGCGCGCGATGGTGGCGTACGAGACGCCCCAGGCGAAGAAGGCCCGACGGATCGCATATCACGTGCTGCGCGCCGCGAAGAAGTTTGTCGCTGGATCCGGGAACGCTCTATGGGTCACGGGGACGACGATGCTGGTGATGGTGATGCCTCTTGTCTTTGAGATCGACCGCGAGCAGCAGCTGCTGGATTATGAGGGTGGGATGGTAATGCCGCCGCGGTGAGGAGCGGTGATTTGCTCGGGTGGCCGCACGCACGCTCGGGTGGCGAACACAGCTACGGCCGTTTGGAGCCTGCCAGAACGGTTGGCTTGAGCCTGTGTACGCGCTCCGTTCCATGCTATCGTCGTGTGTATTACCCTTGCTGGCGGGAGGGGGGTAGGTGCGGCCAGCACCTTCGCTACTCGTGCTCTTGCTGCACGCAGGCCGTGGCCTCTCCCTCGCTCTCGCAACTCCATTTAACTATTCGCCCTACACGCGTAATTTTTGCCACAGAGGTGAACTAAAAGACCCCCAAGTGCCCGCAATGTTGACGCGGCTCGGTGTCTAGCGTGATCGCGTGTGTCGTTGTCCAAGCTCGCCACAACGCTCGCAACGCGGGTCGCGCGCACACAGCTACCTGCTACCTCTACGTCTAGACACCCGCGGCCCTCTCTCTCGCGGGCTCTGCTCAGCTGAGGCTCTGCGTGTGCGGCCGGGGCGCAAGAGCGCGCGCGGAACGGAGGGCGCCGGGAAGAGACCCGGCGTGAGGCCCAGATCTATAAAATAAAAGCAAAATGGACTGCGTGCGCTGAGAAAACGCGGGGCGCTGGAGCGCTGGAGCGTGGAGACAGGGGAGACGCAGACGCGAATCAGGTGCAGTTGAAAGAGGCGTCCAACCGGCATCCCGGCGTCTCGCGGCTCCGGTAGATCTCGGCTTGCCGGGGGGCACGCGTCGACAATCCACAGCCGAGCTTCTTATAAAGAGAGACCGCTCAGGCATCGAGCGAAGCGACGGCCTCGGGGAATGCGGACGAGAGGCACCCGATGCGATCCAGCCTGTACACCTGCGAGGGGGCGGTGACGTCGCTGCAACGGTCGATAGGGGGAGCGCGCCCCCTTCCGCTTCATTCACCCGGATGTTGAGGTCCACGTCCCCGAGGTGCATCTTGTTGTCGTCCTGACCGCAGTAGTAGAGCAGCGAGTAGAGCGCGAGCTCAAACTCGGGGGAGACGCCGACAAACATGCCTGAGACGGGCTTCATCTCGCCCTCCCACTCGAACTGGACGCTCAAAAAGCTCTCCGACCCGTCGGGCGGATCGCCCGACTTCCGCCCTCGCCGCTTGGGGAGGATGTAGCCTTGGTAGTCGAGGTGCCCGCAGCGCTCCTCAAAGTAGAACTGTATCCAGTTGTGAAAGCCCGCGATGGTGAGCTTGCCCTCTTTGGTCGTGTCCTCCTCACCCAGGAAGACGTGCTCGAAGCCGCTGCTCGCCCCCTTGGCCTCGCCGCGCCCGAACGTCTTGAACCAAACCTTGAAGAGCTGCTGGCAGAAGCTGCGCATGCTCTGCGGCGCCAGCTTCTTGGCTTGCAGGTACTACACGCGGGGAGGAGTAGGGAGGTCCGCCGCCACCATCCCCCACACCGCCTCCATTCCCCCACCGTCGCCGCTCCCCCCGCCACCTTCGTGCTTGCGGGTGCGTATGCATGGCGCGTGCGGGGAGCTGACAGTCGCGCGCCTTGTGCAGGTAGATCCCACATGGCTCTTCCATGCATTCGTTGAGAAAGGCGTAGCTCTCGGTCACCTCGTGGGCGGACAGCCTGTCCTCGTGGGACGTGCTGCGGTCGTAGTTGTCAAGGAGCTGCATGAAGGCGCGGTAGGTGTCGCGGTTAAACACCTCCTCGTTGACGCTCTCGAACAGCCGCTCCTTTGCCATGTCTCCCTTCTGCCAGATGCTGCGTGCGGACCGGGGCGAGGGGAGCGGTTCGGTGGGACGTGTGCAGCCGCCGCAAGTCCCCTCATCAGTGGGCTTGAGATGATGGCGGTGCGGCACCTCTTCCCTCCCTGCAGGTTGAGGGTGTAGTCTTTGCCCGCCTGCAGCCTGTTGTGGTCGAGCTGCCAGAGCTTGGCGCAAGCGAGTTGGATGTCATCGAGCTCCTCTGGGGTGGGGTCCGTCGACAGGCAGGTCCCGTTAGTTTTCGGCTTGTCCAAGGGGCGCACCTGTGAGAGGTGAAACAGCTGCATGTGCTCAAAGAGCGCCTGCTCATCAAAGGTCTCGTCCTCCTTGCCGCATGCAGCTCGCAAAGGGCACCGCAGCCTCGTCAAGTTCGCCTCGCGTCCCGCCGGCGGAGCGGCGCGCGGACGCTGCCAGGGCGGCTTCTCGCCCCCCCATACGGCTTTTGGAGTGTCTTTCCCCCAGGCCATCGCCGCTACAATCGGGGCGTTCCAAGAGGAGCGCCGGACGTACGTAATTTGGCTTTTGGCGGCAGGTTCGGGGGTAATTCCCGGCGAATGATTATATAACATTTCCGTCCGGTACGATGAACGCGGCTCCGGCAGCACTCGAACGCCACGCGAGTGACGCGTCGTGTTTTCCCCTCCCACTGCACTCCCACACGTCGTGTGTGTTTGTTTGTGATCTGTGATCTGTAAGGGTCCGCCCGCAGGCGCATTGCTGTATACCGAGGCGGTGCCCGGTGCCGAGCGCAGGCAGAGCCCACAGGTCGGACCTTAAGACAGCATTGTAGATCCCCCCTGGGCGAGGGTGGTGGAGAGGGCGGTCCGTCGCGGCGCCCCAAACCAACGCCTCCCACCGAGGCGGGCAGGTTCCACGCTTTCCCGGGCCGCCCCGTGGTCCGACCGCAGCCACTCCGGAGCCACCGCAGCGGCGGCGCCGAGGCGCACAAGCACCACAACGAAACAGGAATGGTTTGCTAGTCTGATTTTAACGTATGGCTCATGTGTCATAGGACATCAGACCTGACACTCTCATGTGGTTCATCCATCATCTTGGTGAGGGTCCACTACTCGAGCCTCCGCCGACAGTTGCCTCGCGGCGTGAGTCCCGCCGGCGCTGTGCCAGGCGCCAGCCGAAGGCCCTTGCACTTGCCCAGCCCGTGGTTCGCTAGCGGCAGCTCCTTGCTCTGGCAGAACTTGTGGAAGCACGTGATGATCCCATCCCGGTCCGCGACGTGCGATGCGCGCTGGAAGGGCATCAGCGACTGGGCAACCTCACGGACTGTCACGTTGTTCCGGCGCAGGGTCATCTGCAGGATCTCCTCGCTGTCGCAGCCGCGGAGCTTCTTCCGTGCGCTCTTCACCTGGCAGCCGCTCACCGCCTCGTGAAAGAGGCTGTCGTAGTACCGCCCATAGAGGGGGGCTTCGGCGCGGGCGGCCAGGAGCGCATGGTCGGTGGTTTCCGTGGGCGCCATCGGCGGCACGCGGGCGTCGCACTTGAGCACCCACACGCCACTCGCTGGCGCCTCGGGACCGAGCAGGCGGCGGAGATCGAACTCCTCAAGCCAGCGAGCGTCATCACGCAAGAACAGCACATAGTCGTAGCGGCCGCTCTTCCGCTCCGTGGCCTCCAGCCGGTCCCATAGCTCGCGGAGCGCGTGAAAGAGGCGCAGGATGTTGCGGTTGGCGTCGGCTGCCGCCCCGGCGCCTTGAGAGCGCACCGGGAAGAAGGAGTCTGGATCCGCCTTGGGGTGCTTGAGGAGCGCCACCGCTCTGCGAGCCTGAACCTGCGGATCGTCGTCCACGGAGACGCGCCAGCGCACCACGAGGTGGCGGAGCGTCGCGCCGGTGGCTGCAACGTGGTTCCTAATGACCTCCTCGATGCTTCGCCGGCAGGGCGGATCGCCCTCGGGCCCGCCAAATACCGGATCCCAGGTGAGCCGCTGCAGGTAGGGATCGCCGCGCCACGCCTTTTCGTCGTGCAGGCTGAGGGCGAGGAAGTAATCCACGCGGTGACCCTGTCTCACCATCGGCGCAAGCAGACCGTGCGCCGATGAGTTGAGGAGGAACCGCCTGAAGCCGCCCGAAACCACGACGGCCACTCTGTAGCCCGCGCTACCCGTCGGGACTGCCGCCGTCAGCGTGCTCGAGCAGATGGTGGCGACCACGAGCAGTGGGTGAGCCGTGGAGTGCATATACACGCCCACACACACAGGCTGACGGGCCGGCAACCGCTGACTCAACAGAAGTTCGCGGACGGACGGAGCAACCCAGCTTGAGCACTCCAAGTGCTCCAAGTGCTCCAAGTGCTCCAAGTGCACTTGAGCACTGGATAGGGTCGATTCCGCGTGGTACGGGACCCCAACGCATGCCCTCTCTCTCTCTCTCTCTCTCTCTCTCTCTCTCTCTCTCTCTCGCGCGCGCGCGCGCGCGCGCACACACACACACGCACACACACACCTCAGGGAACCCTGCGGCAGCAGGCAGGCAGGCAGAGTTCGCCCCCGCCCGTTGTGCGACCCGCCCGCCTGCGCATGCATGGATGGTGTGGTCCGAGATGCTTTTTAGTGTTTGTCTGTGTATGTGCGTTCTGTCTTAGCACAACACAGTCAGTGGGTCTCTCTCTCTCTCTCTCTCTCTCTCTCTCTCTCTCTCTCTCTCTCTCTCTCTCTCTCTCTCTCTCTCTCTCTCTCTCTCGCTGCATCACTGGGGCTGGGTTCTCCGCCTCGGTCGGGTACAGTTGTACCCACAGACAGGTGCGATTGTTGCTCGGCTCGTTGGGGGAGATGGGGCCCTAGCTGGGACGTTGGTATCGCCGCGCGTACTTGTACTTGTACTTGGACGCTGTCCGCACCCGCACACGGGGCACGGCACGCACGGCCACGGGAATCGGGAGATGTGACATCAGACATGTACAACATGTACCAGGGTACGTGGCTGGGTTCACAGCTACAGCTACAGCTACAGCTACAGCTCTCTCTCGATTGTGGGAAAGTGTCGAACCAAATCACGGTCGCGGCCTTCCGACTCGCGCCTTCGCCTCACTGGCACTATTGTAGCCCTGGCCGGTGCGCGTGCGAAGTTGAAGTTCCGGAGTGAAAATTCGAACGCGTTCTCTCACGGTGACCAAAAAATGTCCACCTCAGAGGCACCTCCGGAGGCAGGCCGCCGCACGCCGGCGACACAGCTCCAGCTGTCGAACTGACCCGCAGCTCCTCTCAGAGCGGGAACTGTGACGAAAGTTGACTGAGGCGGTTGTCAGGAATCATCATACGGATCACATGGTGGCTCTCTCATGACGGGAGACCGCCCGACCACTCCTGGGTGGCACTGCCACCGGTGTCGCTCGACGTCCTGTCGACAGCGTGCCGACAGCGACACAGACCATGTGGGACGCGTCGAGTATCGACATCTACTGCTTACCCAGCCTTCGGTTGTATCCTGGCTGTGGTCTCACCCCACTGGTGTCCATCTGTGTGTGGTCCTCGCTCATATGAATAGCCGTATTGTTCTTTGTTGCTTTCACAGGAGAGACACACAGAACAAGCCAACTGCCAAGCGGTATGCTCTCTGTCCTATCTAGGTGTATAGGGTCGTGACTGTGCGGGCTCCAGTGCGTCCCCGGTGTTTGCGCCTACCGCCCCACGGTTTGCGCCTACCGCCCCGCCCCCGCCGCGGCGCTGTCCGCCGCGCGTAAGACACAAGGGGGGCAGAGATCCTTCCCACACCCTCAGCAGTGTACTCAGTAGGTCAGCACGATGCCTCCAAAGGAGAGGCCCGCGCCCGTGCCAAAGAGCACGCACTTGTCGCCGCGCCGGATCTTGCCCGAGGCGATGCCCTCGTGGAGCGTGAGCGGGATGGAGGCGGCGACGCAGTTGCCGAGCGTGTCGATCGTGCGGATCGCTCGCTCCGCCGGCCAGCCGAGCGCGTCGAGGATCGCCTCGAGCGCGAGCCCGCTCGCCTGGTGCGGCACCGCCCACGTGATGCTGCCCAAGCTGCGCGAGAGGCCCGGCCAGAGCCGCTCCATGAAGCCGCGCCCGTGCTGCAGCACCAGCCGCAGCGCGCCGGCCCCGTCCATCTCGAAGTGGTTGGCGGCGTAATCAGACGCCGGGTTGGGCGCGTGGTGGTCCTCGGGCGAGTGCTGCGGCAAATTGGTGCCGCCGCCGCGCGCCTGCGTGAGCGCCGCGCCCTCGCCGTACGTCTCGACGCGCGCGGCGTGCAGCCTCGAGCCCTCGCGCCAGCCCGCCCTGCGCAGTACGCACGCGGCGGCTCCGTCGCCGAAGAGAGTCGCCTGTGTCGCGCGGGGCATGCGCATGTATGCGACGACGTGTGTGCCGTGGCCGCCTGCCGTCGGCTCGCGTGGCTCGCGGCCAGCTCTGTGCGCGACGCACGAGTCGGGGGCGTGAGGGTCCTAAGAGAGGGTCCTGTGAGAGAGCTTTTGTGAGAGAGACTTGTGAGAGAGGCATGAGAGGGCCCCTCGCCGTGTGCGAGTCGCAAGGGTCGACGTGGCGCGAGGTGATCTCGGAGGAGCAGACGAGGACGTGTGCCCCCGGCGGGCAGTCCGCCCGCTCGAGGGCGGAGCTCGCCTGGGTTAGTGTTATGCTCGTGACTCTGATGCTCTTAGCTGTAGGCAGTCCCGAGGGCGGCGCTCGCCATCTCGAGGCCGACGAGGAAGGAGAGGCAAGTCGCGTGTACGCTCACGCTCCGGATGCCTGAGCCGCCCAGCCCGAGCGCCGCCTGCAGCAGCGGCCCGCCGTCGGGGATGGCCTATTGCAATAGTAGGATAATAAGCGATTCTTCTTCGCCTGCAGCAGCGGGCCCGCCGTCGGGCCGTCGCGGGGATGGCCTGTGTCTGGCCAAAGGGCGGCAGAGCGTCCAGGGAGCCGCCCCCAGGAAAGGGGCAAGGAGAGGGGGGGGGGGGGGGGTGAGCGGTCAGGCGACAGCTGAGAGGTTAGGCGTAAGCTAACGGCGAGGCGGCCTGCTCGTTCGTGCCGCTCGCGTTGACGATCATCCACAGCGACTCGGGCGGCACGCCCGCCGCCTCGAGCGCGGCGCGCGAGGCGTGGGCCGCCATCGTCGACGCCCGCTCGCCCGGAGCGGCGAAGCGGCGCTCGGCGACGCCCGAGCGAACCGTGCTGGCCTCGAAGCCGCCTCCACCCCGCGCCGTCACCTCCTCGTTGGTCACGACTCGCTCGGGGACGTAGTTGCCCGTGCCGACGATGCGCACGCGGAGCCCGAGGTCGCGGCAACGCGTTGGTTGGAAGGTCACCTGGTCGCGTCCGATCGCTGGAGCCGCGGCCGCGGCTGCACGAGTGGCGACGCCGTCCAAGAGCGCAACGTAGTCGGCTCGGCACTCCGCCGACGAGCGGCCCGCCTGCTTGCGCCACGCACCGAGCTTGACGCGATCTTTGAGGCCGCCGCTTTTCATACCCGGCGGCGCGTCACCAAGCTTTGCCTGCTTATAGAGGCCATAGAGCGTCTGCGGCTCCTCGCCGGCCAGGAAGGCGAGCCAGCCGAGGGAGCCCGACCCTGCACGGGGGCCGGCCCTTCGGATAGCCCGCCCCCCTGTTCCTTCGATCCGGACGTGGCCTGGTTCTTTCTCCTTCCCCCAGGTGGGTCTTTATTCGCGAGGGACGGCGGCGGCCACGGCGAGCGACCTCCTCGACCACGCCCACCAGACGATGAGTGTCGCGCACGCGAGTGCTAGTGCGACCAGGTCCGGATGCACGAACATCCCACCCGTGAACGTGTCCCGTGAAAGTGTCTTGCGTCGGTGGCGGTGGAGAGACGGTGTGGAGTGCAGGACGGCGCCTCAGCAAGGAAGATTTTTGGCGCTGCACGGCGGTACAAGAGGAGATGAGGACCAGCCCTAGCTTGGGATGTCCGTTGTATTTATTCTGCAAAGGGGTGTGAACGGAGAGAGCAAACTCCTGGCAGCTCCCACAGCCGAAATGTGCGCCAGCTGCCCGCTCACCTGTGTCACGCCGCCGCGCACGCACCTTGCTATGTGCTCGCGCGAGCTCCCGCCCGAACCTCCAGCTCGGCGTCCCACTGCTTGGGAGCCGATCGCTTTTCCTCGGCGCTCGCGTCGAGCCGAGCTCTCGGCACTCTACGGCGGGCGTCGCTGTGCGGGGCGCCCGTTTCCTGCTGGCCCGAGCGGAAAGCTCCACGCGCCCGCGCGAGCTCCCGGCCGAGCCTCCAGCTCGGCGTCGCACTGCTGAGGAGCAATTTGTCGTCCGTCGGTGCTCTCGAGGAGCCGAGCTCCTTGGCCTGGGGCCGGGGACCTTCAAGGAGGGGGGGGGGGCCCCCCCCCCTCCTTCACCCGGGGGTTTTTTGGGGGGGGGGGCACAGGCACCCCTGGCCCGGGGGTTTTTTGGGGGGGAAGCCCCCCCCCCCCCCCCCCCCCTCGATCTCGCGGCGAGAGCACGAGCGCGCCGTCCTCCGGCGACGCGCCGCCACGCTCTTCCTTAGGTCGTCCTCCGAGATATCGGTGCCGGACCGGCGGGGCGGGGGCGGGGCGGCGTCGGAGCAAGTGTCTCGGCCGTCGGTCGACGGAGCGGCGACCCGCGAGCACGCTTCGTCGGCGCCCGACGAGGGTGGTGCCGCTGTCGCTCTGCCGCGTGCGCAGGCGTGCGCAGGCGTGCCGAGGTCTCGCGACGGCACTCAGCCCGAGCCCCTCCGGGCGCTCGGTCGTATGCTCGTGGAGGCGTCGCGCGGCCGCAGTCTTCGCAGCGGCGGCCGCCGCTGCGGTGGATGCGGGCCAGAAAGAAGGCCGCGCGCGCGGCCAGGGGCCAGGGCTGGCTCTGGCTCGGGCGAGGGCGATCCCGGTTGTCCCTCCGCGGGCGCCTCTGGTCATGCCCGCTTGCTCGACGGCTGGGTTGTGCGTGCGCGCGACTCTCGAGTCGTCGGCGAGTAGTGTGCGCGGGCGGTGGGTGCCGTGGAGATTAGGGGAGACGTCGCTTTGAGCTGCGGGTAGCGGGACCGGGAGATGTTGGGAGATACAGACACGGCGGTACGGTGTCTGGAGTAACATCTCAGAGGTTGAGCAGCGCAGGGGGTGTGCACCTGCCCCCCCATCTCCGGTCCAACGAGTAGAAACATGTTTCCAAAAAGCAGCTACGCCCCGACACGACGACGAGACTCACTCCCCTGGTCGCACACGCTCCCCGACACTCGCAGCAAGCAGCAAGGATCGGGCGGGAGAGGAATTAGCTCAGAGAGACACGCACTCACACACTCACACACACACACACACACACACACACACACACACACACACACACACACACACACACACACACAGAGAGAGAGAGAGACAGAGAGAGAGAGCGAGCGAGAGAGCGAGAGAGCGAGCGAGCGAGAGAGAGA